AAATATGGAAATCATTTCGATTTCGACGAATTGAGTGAATTTTCTTTAATTGTCGGGAAATCGATGCCATTTCGAGGCAATGGAGAGCTCACTAATGGGGACAAGAGTATAGCCGCCACCCAATTGGACCCTAAGTTCTCGACCACATTGGTCTTCCAATGGCCTAAACTGTATTGAGTGATGCCTTTGTTCTTCTCATAAGTGGTCTGATTGTTGATCATTAGCATCGAGTGATAGTAGAGAAGACTTACACCGAACAGAAATCCGCACAAATCGACGATTGATATGAATGTGTAGACCATTACTGGGAATGATATTCGTCCGAATAGCCAGAAGGGGAACGGCAACAGATGATTGGCAACTGTTATCCAACTGAACCCTCCCAGTGCTTCCCAAACGAAGAATTGGTTCAATACTGTGGCGTAAAAGCCGCCGATTCCTACGTATAGCAGTAATCCGTAATAAAATCTATTCATTTGAGAAATAAAATTAATTTTTTGTATACTTTGCTCTCATTTTATTAACAAATGTCTGAAACTATACCTAAAGTTCTTATAACCGATACAACAACCTATGAATTGAGAGGTGTGTTAGAAGTGAAGTGAAATATCTTATAAATCTCTGTGTAATACCACTGAAGACGCAGTGATGGTCTCTCTTGAGTACGCATTCATCGCATATCTGGCAGTGATAGGACCGCGGAGGAGAGTTACCCTCACAGACCATACAGAACCTCCAGTTGGGCTTCAGGACGGACGGCATCATCAGCCCTGCGGTCGAGTTCTCGGTAGTCATGAGACACCAGAGGTTTGACATAATGTTGAATACTATGAAAATACCGGCACTTATATGAAAGTAATTGACGGTCGCGTCGATGGTGTGAATACGCGGTAAGACCACTGCAGTTGACATCAAAAACATGAGCCATTAGTCAAGTAATGAATAAAAGCTATGAAATGAAAATACTCTGGACTTCGAAGATGAAAGTGGATCCGACGGCCAACACCAGGAACAGTGTGCCGATAGCATCGGACACATTCTTGGGCTTCAGTTTCGCCAATTTCATTGCACTTAAGTATTGGGTATTCAATGATAACACAGTAGTGGACACTAGACTTGGTTTCCGTTTCTATCGATTAGTTGTAATAATAAAATGCTAACAATTTCTAAATACTCTACATTGACAACGATTAGAACCTGGCTAAGTTAACAGTTAACGTGATACATGGACATGAATTAACGTAACAAATGGACAATGCTTGTGACCCTGATCATTCCGCTACTAATACTGATATTATATAATTGTGATGAACATAACTATACTAAAAACTAAATCTCATAATAAAAACTAATCAATTGTTTACTCAAAAGAAATCCGTTTCTAAAGTAACACTCAGTGTATTGTCTGTCATTCATAGTGTCACCAGAAAAAAGTTGTTTTGTTTCTTATAATTAGTTTGAAAATCACTTAAAACCATTGATTTGGTGTGAATTGTCTGAAAAAGTGGTTCAAAACTGATGTACAGTTTAAAAGCCAAAACTTAAACCGGATTTAAAGGTCTAATCTCGTGATGAAATGGCAAACAAATGGTAACGTAATATATGACACATTTAAAGCGCTATCGTTTGAAATGCATTGAAAACACATGAAAACGTTTGGCTGAAAAGCAATGCAATAATGAATCGGTTTTTAATAGTTTTCATTTTAGTGGTTAATTGCAATACATTTGACACAAAAGACAATCAAATCAATGAGAATGTCATTCGCGACGAGTTGACGACCAAAGCCTTCGAGTCGGCCTTCCCTGAGAAGCCCCTCCAATTGGTCCGACCGGATGTGCACCACAAACGTCTAGTCATTGTCGAGGAAAATGTCAAGGTATTCATCCGTTCGTTGACCACTTCCTCCACTTATCATATCTAATGCATACTTGTGTTGAACACCTCTTTGTGGACAGTTATTGCACCGATTGGTGGGACCGGTGGCCACCGTTGCCGTTGTCGGCAAATTTCATTCCGGAAAGTCTTTCCTTATGAACCAATTGATGGGCAAATCCAGTGGCTTCGGCATCGGACCAGACACTAGGCCTAAGACAATGGGCATCTGGATGTGGGGAAAGGTATGCATTAGGTTTACCATTATAATGATTACCACTCAATATGTCTTTGATGTATGTCGTGAACAGCCGACTCAGTATACCCTGGATTCTGGTCTCAAAGTGTGGATAATCTTTTTGGACACCGAAGGCTTCGCCGCAAACAATGTGTCCGAGAATTATGACGCGAAGATATTCGCCGTTTCGACACTCCTTTCATCTCATCTGTTGTACAATTCAGTGAAAATCATCGATCAGTCGGACATCGATTACTTGGAACTGT